GTTTCTTCTCAGGGCTGATGAAGCCCTCTGAGGCTGGGCCTTCTCCAGCTTTCCTGCCTCATCTACGGCCAATTTTCTTCTTTCTTTGCCAGTACTTGACATTTAGGAAGTCAGTTGAGTTCTTCAAATACTTTTATTTTCTTAGAAATTTCCACTTGTGTTACTTAAAGTCTTCTCTTCCCTAGTGGTCTGTATAGCCTTGCCCAATTCCAAATCTAGTTTAGCTGTATTGAGCATTATTCCTATGGTACTGTGAACTTTATTTGTTTAATATCAGCCTTTTGTGTCGGTTTCATGCTCTGTGAAGTAGTTTCAGGGTCCTATGTATGTCTGTTGGATGATAAATCCATTGTTTTAAAAAATAAATTTGATGTTTTGGATCAGCTAAAGGTTCACAGTAAAATCAAGTAGAGAACAGAGGTTTATCCAGCTCTATTGTACATAGCTCTCCCACTGTTGACCTCTCTCCACCAGAATGATATATTTGTTACAATGGATGAATCTACAATGCCATGTCATTGTCATCTAGAGTCAATAGTTTGCATTTGAGTTCCTTTTTTTTTTTGGAGAGATTTTTATCGCTATAGGGCACGTGCGCTTGCCAGACATACAGAGAGAGACATAGAGACAGAAAACGAGAAATCACCTCCCGGGGGGATGGTCACGCCGCCGTAATCTGTTCTCCTCCATTCTCCTCTCGGGATCTTGGGCACGCACGCACATGCGCCAGGTGTGAGTTTTAAGCCACCGGGTCCGGGACGCGAACCATGGTCGACTACATGGGAGTTCAGCGACATAACCATTACGCTAACTGCTGGCTCCTCATTTGAGTTCCTTTTAGATGCTGTATGTTCAGTGGCTCTGGACAAATGTATAATGACATGTATCTACCCTTAGAATATCATAGAGTGTTTCCATTAACCAAACGTTCCCCTATGCTCTACCTATCATCTCTCTCTACTTCCATGACTTTGGCATCTGCATGTCTTTTACTGTCTCCATAGTTCAACCTTTTCCAGAATGTCATAGAGTTGGAACTGTATGGTGACTTTTCAGATTGGCTTCACTATTTAAGTCTCCTCTTGTTGGATTTTTTTTTTCTTTTTTTCTTTTTCTTTATTTTTTTTTTTTTTTTTTTTGTGGCCTGACAGCTCATTTCTTTTTAGCAATGAAAAATATTCTCTTGTCTGTATGTACCAGAGTTTGTTTATCCATCCGCCTTCTGGAGGACATCTTGCTTCCTTCCAAATATTCGCAATTATGAATAAAGTTGCTGTAAACATTTGTGTGCAGGTTTTTTGATAAATTCAGTTTTAAACAGAATAAGTGAAAACACATTCAAGTGAAAATATTCAGGAATAATTTGGACATTTATGAGTTACAGTTTGTAAGATCAAGACTGGATGTATGTATTTATGACATTCATCCTATTTTTCACTTTCTTTAATGAATATCTTCCATATGCCAGATACTCTACCAGGTGCAAGAAATATAAAACTGAGAATTACAGAGTTCTAGCATTTGAGGCTTTCCCATAATAGTGGGAGAAAACATACTCAAACATAAATAATCTCATAATATGTGAAGTACTAAAATGCCATTTAAGCTTTATGGAGTTGTCATCAATTCCATATGGAGGCTGAAGAGGCAGCTTCACAAAACTGATGACATTTGAAGTGAACCTTGAAGGAAGAGCAGGAGTTCACAGGCAAGTGATTTGAGAAGAGTCATATACAGACCAGAATTAGAAAAAAATATATAGAGTAGACTGGTGACAGTTGGAAATTAAGCTAGAAAAATAGGCTGGTCAGATAGAGAAAGGTCTTTGGGTCCAGCTAATGAGGTTGGACTTTTCTTCCACTGAATTGTTTTAAACATAGATGTATTGTAAATGAAGTTTTGTGAATATAATCCTGTTGTCTGGATGAAAGATAGGGCAGAAAAGAAGAGACCATCCCAAGAGGCTAAGAAACCTAATAAGAGAGTTTACATCAGGAGACTGATCTGTGATCGTGGATGTGGGGATTAAGTGCACGAAAAATATTCAGGAGATATTTAAAAGTCTGAATTTATAAAACGTTTATTTGCAATAGTATTGTTTATCTTATCCTTAAGTCTCTTTTTTATTTTTACTTTTGTTGGTATTTTTTTAAAGAAATTTTTGCCTTAGGGTGTATGCACTTACCAGAGAGAAAGAGACAGAGACAGTGAGAGGGAAAACAAGAAATTACCCCCCAAGGGTGATTGTTGTCCCAGGATCTTCGGCACACAAGCATACGTGCCCAGTGTGAGTTTCGAGTCCCAGTCTGTGACTCGAAATGCAGTCAGCATATGGGAGTCTAGAAATATAACCACTCTGCCATCTGCTGGCCCCAAGTCTCTTTATAAAAGTATGTTAGATTGATTTTATTTTTGAAAATATTAGGACTATTGAGAGGTGTAAATAGAAATGCTACTGATTTTACATCACATTTAAAACTTTTTGAATTAATTTGTTATTTTTGTGGGTCAGTCTCTAAAAACGGTTGTTTTAAATTTTTGTTTTTTTTTTTTTTTTTTTTTTTTTTTTTTTTTTTTTTTTTTTTTTTTTTTTTTGTGGCCTGACAGCTCATTTCTTTTTAGCAATGAAAAATATTCTCTTGTCTGTATGTACCAGAGTTTGTTTATCCATCCGCCTTCTGGAGGACATCTTGCTTCCTTCCAAATATTCGCAATTATGAATAAAGTTGCTGTAAACATTTGTGTGCAGGTTTTTTGATAAATTCAGTTTTAAACAGAATAAGTGAAAACACATTCAAGTGAAAATATTCAGGAATAATTTGGACATTTATGAGTTACAGTTTGTAAGATCAAGACTGGATGTATGTATTTATGACATTCATCCTATTTTTCACTTTCTTTAATGAATATCTTCCATATGCCAGATACTCTACCAGGTGCAAGAAATATAAAACTGAGAATTACAGAGTTCTAGCATTTGAGGCTTTCCCATAATAGTGGGAGAAAACATACTCAAACATAAATAATCTCATAATATGTGAAGTACTAAAATGCCATTTAAGCTTTATGGAGTTGTCATCAATTCCATATGGAGGCTGAAGAGGCAGCTTCACAAAACTGATGACATTTGAAGTGAACCTTGAAGGAAGAGCAGGAGTTCACAGGCAAGTGATTTGAGAAGAGTCATATACAGACCAGAATTAGAAAAAAATATATAGAGTAGACTGGTGACAGTTGGAAATTAAGCTAGAAAAATAGGCTGGTCAGATAGAGAAAGGTCTTTGGGTCCAGCTAATGAGGTTGGACTTTTCTTCCACTGAATTGTTTTAAACATAGATGTATTGTAAATGAAGTTTTGTGAATATAATCCTGTTGTCTGGATGAAAGATAGGGCAGAAAAGAAGAGACCATCCCAAGAGGCTAAGAAACCTAATAAGAGAGTTTACATCAGGAGACTGATCTGTGATCGTGGATGTGGGGATTAAGTGCACGAAAAATATTCAGGAGATATTTAAAAGTCTGAATTTATAAAACGTTTATTTGCAATAGTATTGTTTATCTTATCCTTAAGTCTCTTTTTTATTTTTACTTTTGTTGGTATTTTTTTAAAGAAATTTTTGCCTTAGGGTGTATGCACTTACCAGAGAGAAAGAGACAGAGACAGTGAGAGGGAAAACAAGAAATTACCCCCCAAGGGTGATTGTTGTCCCAGGATCTTCGGCACACAAGCATACGTGCCCAGTGTGAGTTTCGAGTCCCAGTCTGTGACTCGAAATGCAGTCAGCATATGGGAGTCTAGAAATATAACCACTCTGCCATCTGCTGGCCCCAAGTCTCTTTATAAAAGTATGTTAGATTGATTTTATTTTTGAAAATATTAGGACTATTGAGAGGTGTAAATAGAAATGCTACTGATTTTACATCACATTTAAAACTTTTTGAATTAATTTGTTATTTTTGTGGGTCAGTCTCTAAAAACGGTTGTTTTAAAATAATTGGTGTAGGCCAGCAGGTGGCGTGGAGGTAAGATGCTCAACTCCCACATGGCAGACCATGGTTTGAGTCCTATATAGCTTGAAAATCACTCCGGGCATGTGTGTGTGTGTGTGTGTTTGTATGTGTCTGTGTGTGTGTGTGTGTGTGCTCAAAATCCCAAGAAAAGAATGTAGGACAAGGGACTGTAGCATAATCATCCCCTTTTGGGAGTGATTTCCTACTCTCCATCTCTTTCCAGCAAGCATACACACCCTGTGTCCAAACCAATAAATAAAAAATAAATACAATGATTGTATTGTACACTTAAAAATTTGCTTAAAAGGAGGGATTGCATGTTAAATGCTTCTATTACAATAGAAAGATTGCTGTTTTTTTAAAAACATCATAGTTTAAGACTAGGTTTTAAACTTCTGTTTTATGATTTGAATTTAAATGTCAAGATAAAGGGAAACATTAGTTTGTTCTGAGAAAATAAAGCTAATCAAACGGCTACTGACTATATTTGGTACCACAAAGTCTTCAGAGCTGACATATTATATGTAATGAAAGTTTGGCATAGATCTAGAAGAGTACATGAAATTCTCCAACACTTCTTAGATGATGACTCAGCTATACTGACATATTTTGTTTGTCTACAATGATGAACAGGAGAAGAAAGTAGTTAAATCTACCCACACTCAATTCATTAATTGCCTTTAATTAGCAATTTGACTTTTCTACATGAGTAACTTTGTTGGGAAGTTATTGCCTTTTGTAACTGTGGGGTAACAATGAGCTCATAAGGTCTTTAAAGAATAAATTGAGATATTGAGGGAACAGATGTAATTACAATTAGAAATTAAGATAACAGCCAGGTGATTTACTGCCGTAGCATCAACAACTTGATCAGGAGGAATGAACTGAGGGAACACTTTATATACCATGTGGTTGCTATTTACTGCCAGTATAGTTGTGTGTACATAGGTGTGCGTGTCAATGTGTACATTTTCCTTATTTAATTTCAGCTATGACAGTGATAGCTGGTGCCCACCATTACCAGTACAAACATACCTACACCAGGGAATGGAAGATGAACTGGAAGAAGATGATGATCGGGTCCCAACACCTCCTGTCCGAGGCGTGGCCTCTTCTCCTGCTATCTCCTTTGGACAGCAGTCTACAGCAACTCTTACTCCATCCCCACGGGAAGAGATGCAACCCATGCTGCAGGCTCACCTGGATGAGCTGACAAGGGCCTATCAGTTCGATATAGCAAAGCAAACATGGTAAATATCCACATTAAGTCAAGGGACCCACACTTTCAACACATGGAAATGTTCTTTCTCATACATTCACAAAAGATTGTCATAGACCTGTACAGTTTCAGTTAAAAATAATTTTGTACAACTCTTTAATCATTTGGATAAGAAATTAACTGAAGAAATGTTAAATAATTTGACCAAAGTCACATGACTAGAGAGTTAACTGGAGCAAGAATTCAGATCTGCTGAATTTCAGTCTAAAGTGCTTTTGGCTACACCAGAATGTTTTCTAATTTACAGTTTAGCTTCAATTACCTTATCCTTGAACTCACTTCCAATGCCATGATAAAGGACTCTTTTTTAGATTCTTCAAAGTGGCTGTGAATATACAAATTTAAGCTTCAGCAAATCATTTGTAGTTAGTGTCAGTTACTAAAATATCCTCTTTGGGCTGAGTTAAATGAGACAGAAAATACAAAAATACACAACAGTAGATTCATTCAAAAACAACATAAGTTTAAAACCTCAAATTTCTTTTTATAATCAATCATAATCTTTCATAAACTGTAAGTATCAATTTACTTTGATTTCTTGGCAAAATATGGCATAAATACAAATGGGACCACCTCCAACAGTTTTATATGAATTTTTCTTATTTCTTTTTTCTTCTTCCATATTGTGTGTACACATCTGGACTCTTGAAAACAAAATGTCTCTCTGTCTCTCTGTTTGTCTCTGTCTCTCTAGTGAATGCACACAGCCTATAGCAAAAACGTTTCTTAAAATAAAAAGAAAACAAAATCTCGGTAACACACCTCCAATTATTTTGTCATTTTTGTTGTTGCTGACTTATCTGTACTGCTTAAAATCATAGTAGATTCTATAAAAATAATTTTGGGTCTTTTTTTTTTTCATTGATAATTCCAACTACTGGGATAAGTTTATAAAAAGGTCATTCTTATTCTTAGCGTTAATGAGCTATTTATTTTAAAAATATAGTTACCTATACTTAAGAAGAAATAGCTATATCATTGAAGCTTGTTACAAACAAGGTCTCTTTTTAGGATCAGAAATTCTTGAACAGTTCCTGAAACAATCAACTATTTTTTCGAAGACTAACAACTACTATTTTGTATGAAGCTATTTTTGACAAAGCATCATGGTTTCAGTTGAACCAGCTATTTAAAGAGCTATAGGATTTCTTCGAGTTAACTAATGAAGCCATGCAGTGTACTCACAGTACACTATCTAACTCAAGGATTCCAAAATTTACCTGCATTTTTGAATTGCCTGGATAACCTTAAAATACATTGAAATCTAAGCACCACAAATTTAAGCTTCAGCAAATCATTTGTAGTTAGTGTCAGTTACTAAAATATCCTCTTTGGGCTGAGTTAAATGAGACAGAAAATACAAAAATACACAACAGTAGATTCATTCAAAAACAACATAAGTTTAAAACCTCAAATTTCTTTTTATAATCAATCATAATCTTTCATAAACTGTAAGTATCAATTTACTTTGATTTCTTGGCAAAATATGGCATAAATACAAATGGGACCACCTCCAACAGTTTTATATGAATTTTTCTTATTTCTTTTTTCTTCTTCCATATTGTGTGTACACATCTGGACTCTTGAAAACAAAATGTCTCTCTGTCTCTCTGTTTGTCTCTGTCTCTCTAGTGAATGCACACAGCCTATAGCAAAAACGTTTCTTAAAATAAAAAGAAAACAAAATCTCGGTAACACACCTCCAATTATTTTGTCATTTTTGTTGTTGCTGACTTATCTGTACTGCTTAAAATCATAGTAGATTCTATAAAAATAATTTTGGGTCTTTTTTTTTTTCATTGATAATTCCAACTACTGGGATAAGTTTATAAAAAGGTCATTCTTATTCTTAGCGTTAATGAGCTATTTATTTTAAAAATATAGTTACCTATACTTAAGAAGAAATAGCTATATCATTGAAGCTTGTTACAAACAAGGTCTCTTTTTAGGATCAGAAATTCTTGAACAGTTCCTGAAACAATCAACTATTTTTTCGAAGACTAACAACTACTATTTTGTATGAAGCTATTTTTGACAAAGCATCATGGTTTCAGTTGAACCAGCTATTTAAAGAGCTATAGGATTTCTTCGAGTTAACTAATGAAGCCATGCAGTGTACTCACAGTACACTATCTAACTCAAGGATTCCAAAATTTACCTGCATTTTTGAATTGCCTGGATAACCTTAAAATACATTGAAATCTAAGCACCACCCTCAGACAAATTCTGATTGTTTGGTCTAAGGTTTCATTAGATATGGGCAAGTATGGAACCACTGCCAAAAGAGAACCTCTCTTACTAGATGTATGACCTGAGTAACTTGCTGAACATCTGTACGTCATCTTTTTTCAATGGGTAAAATGATGGTGACAATATCGATTCATTCACGTATAAAGTTAGAGAGCAATCCCCACAACCACCTTCATTTCTGACACCACCTGTGAATTTCAGGACTCCCCAGACCACCTTGAGGTTCAAGAACTCACTAGAATTCACTGAAAACTAAATTGTTATACTTAAAGTTGCAATTGATTCCAGTGAAAAAGAATACAAATTATAATCAACAAAGAGAAGAGATGCATGAAACAGAGTCCAGGGAAATTCTAAAAACAGAGCCTCCACAGTTGCCTTCTCCCAATGGTGTCACAGGCAGCATTACTTTCTCAACAAAGTATAACCATATTCATGGTGTATTGCCAACCAGAGAAATGCACATGAACCCTGAAGTCCAGAGACTTTATTTGGGCTCTGTCACATAGATGTGGTTCATTACTCACATGGCTGACCCCAGTCTCTGACAGGAGTCAAGCTGATATTGTGTGACTCAAAAATAAATTATATCAGTAGACTTCCTGATACAGTCTGAGGTTTCCTAGTAAACAGAGAGGCTTCTATCAGACTGGATATTATAAGAGTTTAGAGAATACCTCCCAGGAGTATAGGGCAAAGATCTAACCTTTCTGGGGTCAATGTTAAGTTTTTTGTTACATATCCTCGTTTTTTTAAGAATCCAATGAGTTTTCACTTGTTTAGTACTTAGTAAAGCACCTACAATATTTTCATCATTATTTAGAAAAACTTGAATTTTAACCTAAGTTGTTCACTGCTGTCTTCCCACACTTAGAAGAATGACTCACTAAGCAAGTGTCTCACAGATATTCGCTAAATCGATGAACAAACCAGTTCCTCTGTCCCTGTTTCTTCTGAGTATGTTCCTGCTTAGACTAGCAGTCTTCCAGAGTGCCTTAGCTTGTAGGCAAGTAGGAGCTGTAAGCCTCCATGTGCTCACAGAAGACCTTACCCCACATTTTTAGGATGTGCCTCTCCATCTGGAGTGTACAAAAATATCAGGGAGGGTTGTTTCAAAAACAATAAACTGCAGGCTCCCCTTATCGTGGTTCTGGCTGTGTTGTTCCATAAAGTGCACAACAAACGGTACCACTGGAAGATATTTATCAATGTTATAGACTCTCTTCTTCTATTCCAGTTCATCCTCCAACTCTGCTTAACTCGAGGAGTCCAATTTTCATTCTTTAATGTATATCTGTTTCTGTAAGAGGTGTCGGCAGTGAAGGAAGACTAGAGTGTAGATCTGGTCCTTCCTTCCCAAAACTAAAGTCTGCACCATTTCAGGAGGATGAATCGTGTCTATTGATGTAACATGTATCCTCTTGCTCATCACCTGGCTCTCCCATAAACAGGATTGATTCATAAACAGGATTTGAGGCAAGACTTATAGCAAGATGTGCTCATCAACTGTCAAGAATTTTCTGTAATAGCAGGAAGGAACCCCCCCCCCCATTTGTCAATTAATAGGCTATAGTTAATTTTAAGCAATAAATTAAAGCCTCAAATTCTTGATCTCTTATATTAAAGATTTGAGACTGATGCTAGTATAGTAGATTCCCAGAACTAACCTTTTTGTTGTTGTTGTTTTTATAACATTGAAAGATCTACAATCCTACTAACACTGGAGCTGATTACTAATTCAAGAATGTAGTTTGAGAGGAGAGGTACCTTAAACAATTCTGGAAAAATGAAATATTTTCCCCGAAGGATGCAAATGATAAAGAAATGAATCTTGTATCTTTCCTTCAAAATTCAATAGTACAAAAATGCATCGTGCTTGATTTATCTCCTTTAAATAGCAGAGACCTTTTATATGTTGTTGTGCAAAGACAATGAGAAGAGTTAACATGGGAAAACAGTGCATCCACTCTTCAGTGACAGTAATGAATAACAATGAATTGCTTTCATTTAGCATTTGATCATTTAGAAGAGACTCCATGTGGTCTCAAAGCAAATCAGTGGCACTCAGTGTCCAGCTTCACATTTTGTTAGACACATGGTTTGAAACAATTGACTTACATTTGAGCACATTTTAAGAAGTTCTGAAAGAAGGCTGATATTACATATTCTATGTTATTCATAAACTTGAGATTAGAATTATTCATTCATTTAAAAGAGTTTGTTTAACACATCTAATTTTCTAAATGCAGAAAATGCTGAAGTGAGCAATATTTGCCTCTGAGGAGTTTAAGGCTTTGGTGAGTGAGACATGCACAAATAAGTGGCTGGAACAAAAAAGTATCTATGTCTACCTTAAACTAGGTTAAAGTAGAAATAATCACTCAGCGAAATGCTAGGGGCTTGTGCGGAAGGAAAGACTTGTAGGGCAGGGAAAGGGGGCTATAACATCCTCACAGATATCTTTTCTTCGTAAGGGCCAGCAGACCGCGTGGGTTACATAGGCTGAATACTATTTCAACATAAAATGATTTACTATTTTTGGAGAAAAAGGTCAGCTTGTTGTGACAAATACTGCTATTCTTCTTTGAGTGACTTATTTGTATACAACTACAGGGCCTGTATTTCGCTCTCTGGGTATTATCCTATACATGCCAATAGAAGGTTTAATAGATGTTTGGTGAGGCAGCCTCTATGGCCTATTGTCTCTACTGAAGTGAGGAAAGCAATGTAAGTTAATGAAAAGGACAAAAGCAATGTGTTACTCTAGCATGCCATTGAACTCTAGTTACAATTCTATTGAAAGTTAAGGAATTGCTCCCTTCTTCTTTTCTTCTTTTTTTCCCCCCATTTAAATTCTAGGCACATTCAAAGCAATAATCAACCTCCACAGCCTCCAGTTCCACCATTAGGTTATATGTCCGGAGCCTTGATTTCTGATTTGGAAACAGATGTTCCAGATGATGATGCTGATGATGAAGAGGACGCTTTAGAAATCCCCAGGCCCCTGAGAGCACTAGACCAGACGCCTGGATCCAGTATGGACAATCTAGACAGCTCTGTGACAGGTAATGGAACCAATTTAATAAGAATAACTGACCTATTTGTAACACTAAAATGCATCAAAAATCAAATACTTTCTTATGTGAGATTTATTCCACTCTATCTATTTCTGTAACATTTTAAATATGTTAATATTAAACTCAAAATTCAAAAGGATTTGGAAATACTTTTGCTTTGCTGCAAAAATGATAAGGAAATTCATGAATTTTAAAAAGCTTTAAAGACATGAAAGAAAACTCAATTATATCCAAGGCTTTCATGAAAAGTTCACTCTACTAGGGACCAAGTCTATTACATAAAAAAACCTGACTTTCAGAAGTGATATGTTTTGTATATCAGGAACAACATACAAAGTGAATGCAATCTTAAAATGCTTTTTGATATTTTGCCCTGTAAAATCATTCACTGGTGAAAATAGGCAAGTGTTCAGTATAAGCCTCTCTAAGGTTGAGTAAAGTATTCTTTTTAGAGTGAAGAAAAATGGATAGTGAGAAAAACCACACATTTTTGCATTTCACATTGCTGAATCCAATAATTGCTTCTTTCCCAACCAAAACAAACAAACAAACAAATAAACAAAAAACAGTAATTATTGTTACCATTTAATTCTTTGGCTTCGTCTTGTCTTGTTATCAAGTCTAGACTTCAATTAGAATTCTCCAGTGATGATCCCAGGGCTAATACATAATATATGTCCAAGTGTTTAAACTTATCACATTTTGTTAGAAAAAATTTAAACCCAATATATCTCAATGTATACATAATGAATATGGAGAAAAGTAAAAACTCAGTTTGACTATTTAATTAGGTATCTATTCTTAGACATGCACACAAATGTCTCTTACATGACTATGAAGACACAACTACTACAAACTTAAGTCTAATCTTTGTATTTCATTGGGTCTTCTCAGAAAACCATCCATATCTGTGTTCACTTTGACATTTTTCATCCTAAGCGGTATTTTATCACACTTACTTGATTCAATTTTATTCCCGTAGCTTCCCAACTTCCACAGATTTCTGCACCACATGTTAGACTTTTGCCCATTCTTACGGGAACTGGTTTATGACCGTGATGAAGAAGCAGAGGCAGTACCTATCATTTTCCTCTGCATCCCTTCCCACATTCCACAATGTGTGATGCATAGCCCTCTCTTCAGCTTCTCTTCTTACCCAGAGATTGATCTACTGGCCTGGCTAATTAAGATTTAAAAACTGCAGATACACTGCTGTGATTTGAAATCTACATCTGACTGAAGATAGCAGAGCAGAAGTTAGAACCTTTTAATGCAGAGAACTGACTTATTAGAGCACTATTATGTTAAGCTCCTTTGCCTGAATTTCTAGCATAATCTCCTTCAGGGTAAAATTCTGCATATTTTTGCATATGTCACTAATGATACTGAACTCTTTTCCATTAAGAATGCAGGAAAGAATTATAATAATAATGAACAAATTCACTTATAGCCTATGTAGTTCATCTATTAAGTATTATAATGTCAAAGATGATAAATATATCTATAAATCAGGAGGATGCCTGTTTGCACTTTTACCTGTTCACCTGTTACTCTCATGTTAGACTGTCTAAATAGGACTATAGTTCAACCATTTTGCATTTATTCTGTAGCAAGTATTATGTTCATACTGGCCCTGGCAGCCTGAAAATCACATCAGACTTGTGTGCATGCATGTCTAAAATCATAACTAGAAGGAGAAATAGAGAAGAGATTGTATCATAACCACTCCCCATTGAGGGATGCTTTCTCCTCCTTTTCTCCATCTCTCTGTTTCTCTATTTCTGGGAAGTGTACATGCCTTCTGGAAACTTAGAAAAAAATGTTTGTGTGTTTATAGAGTAAGTATATTACAATCTGTGTGTATATGTGTATAGGGAGTCTTATGTATAAATGTATAAATGGGTATGAGTATGGGTAAGATTGTAAGTCCATTTAGGGGAATGTATGCATGAGTGTATATAGGGAGTGTAAGTGCATAGAGATGTATGTGTGGAAATTGTATATTGGGTGTGTGAATGCAGTAGAAAGTATGTGTATACATGCACACACACACACACACACACACACACACACACACATATGTAGGTATAGTTCTGAGGTGGATGTATACACAGACCAAATGTCAGAGAAGTAAACATGTTAATGTTAATGAATCTTATTCTATTATGCCTATGTTTTCTTCAGACACTTAAGGCTACTCTAATGCTGTTAAACAAGGGGAGAAATAAAACAGGCACAGTTTCCATTGCCTTATTAGTTTTTAAATATATAAGTACCCTTGGAAAGATTCAGATCTAACCATCCGTTACTTTGAATTCTAAATCTGTTTGTATGAGTAAATTAGTTCTTAGATTCCCCTGAAATTTCTTGATACATATCTTCATTTTCATGAGACTAATCTCTATTAAATTATTTTTATTGAATAGAATTAAAAATTATGTCTTATTCCCTGAAATGCTAAAAGCCAACCAAAATGATAAGCCAATGCTAACATCAAAATGGACTAATAATAAACCTGAATATACAATTATGCAAGATTTTACTTGGCTATATTGTACTTCAAGTTGTCACATTATGGAATACCAACACCGGAAGGTATAAAGCCCGTATTTGCAAATAGATAAATACATTAACTCCAAATATTTTCATAACAGCTCATTTTAAAAAATTTTTATTATCATCATAATCTTCTTTATATTACATTGCATTACATATAACTTTACAGTGTATTACATTGCTTTTTCAAAAGGGAATGCCATGCAAGTCAATCAATACAGAGACATTAATCTCCCCTCTTCAAAATTCAATCTTTTCTATGATTTTTCTCAATTATTATTATTATTATTATAATTATTTTTTAAAACAGTCAATCACTATTTCTCATTTTGCTTGTAAAAAGACTTTACCCATCATGAAATACTTCTCAGACCAATCTAGTTGAGAATAGTATACATTTCATCATCAACAGGTAATAAGCCATATCGGTTCCTCACGAACATCCTGCCTCTCTATTGTTCTCTTGCTCTTTCTCTATCCTCTTCTCTTCACCTCCCCCATTCCACACTGTCCTATTCTTGTTAAGCATCTTCACTGCTTTTATGTCCTCCAATTTTTCGCTCTCTACCATAGAGTGTGGATAGTTGGTATATGTTGAGTGGATACATACAATATCTTTCTTTCATAAACTGACTTACTTCACTCAGCAATAGATCCTCCATATCTGACCACTTT